AGGTCTGTTGGAAAGAATCAGCAATAGAAAGAAAAAAGAAAGACAAATGCGGAACAGTGGGGATAAGGTGCATAATTGTACCACAAAAACGCTAAGAATCCTAGCAATGATACAATACACGTGCTGAACTGATTTGATACATCAAAATTTCAGCAAAAAAAACTAGTTAACATTGATACAAGAATCCGATAACAAACAAGCATACGGAAAGAGGTGAAACAGATGTCAGAACATTATAGCTTACTTGTTTGTGTAGGCTATAGTGGGGTATCCCATAGGGGGTACAACCCAGTTAGGGTTTCATATTTGTACTCACTCCATTCATAGTTCATTCATTCGTTTCCTGTAATCTCAACATGGTATCAGAGCGGGTCCTTCGTAAGGACCGTTTCTCAGGGCCCACCAACGAGTTTTTTTTCCTGCCCGGAGCGTGCCCTACCCTCCCCGAGGCGCGCTCCCCTAGTCCCCGCGAGTCGCGCCCGCGAGTCGCGCGCGCGACCCTTTTTTTCGCGCGCGCGGCCCGGGCCACGTCGCGCGGGCCTTACGACCGCGTCGCGCCGCCCTCGCGCCGCCCTCGCGCCGCCCTCCCCTGATTCGCGGCTCCGCCGCGCCTGCTACGCGGCCCCGCCGCCCCCCTGATTCGCGGCTCCGCCGCGCCTGCTACACGGCCCCGCCGCCCCCTGATTCGCGGCTCCGCCGCGCCTGCTACGCGGCCCCGCCGCCCCCTGATTCGCGGCTCCGCCGCGCCTGCTACGCGGCCCCGCCGCCTCCTGCTTCGCGGCTCCCGCCGCGCCTGCTACGCGGCTCCGCCGCCCCCTGCTTCGCGGCTCCCGCCGCGTCTGCTACGCGGCCCCGCCGCCGCCCCCCCCCCCCCCCCCTGCTTCGCGGCTTCCGCCGCGCCTGCTACGCGGCCCCGCCGCCCCCCCCGCTACTTCGCGGCTCCCGCCGCGCCTGCTACGCGGCCCCGCCGCCCCCCCTGTCTCGCGGCTCCTGCCGCACCTGCTACCCGCGGCCCCGGCGTGCCTGCTACCCGCGGCCCCGCCGCGCCTCTTCTGCGGCCCCGCCGTCCCTGCTACCCCCGGCCCCGCCGTTCCTGCAGCAGCCGGGCCGCCCACCTGCAGCAGCCGAGCCGCCCAGCCGCAGCCGAGCCGCCCAGCAGCAGCCGAGCCGCCCAGCAGCAGCCAAGCCGCCCAGCAGCAGCCGGGCCGCCCAGCAGCAGCCGAGCTGCCCAGCAGCAGCCGGGCCGCCCAGCAGCAGCCGAGCCGCCCAGCAGCAGCTGAGCCGCCCAGCAGCAGCCGAGCCGCCCAGCCACAGCCGAGCCGCCCCGCAGCAGCCGAGCCGCCCAACAGCAGCCGAGCCGCCCAGCCACAGCCGAGCCGCCCCGCAGCAGCCGAGCCGCCCTCCAGCAGCCGAGCCGCCTGGGAGCTGCCGAGCCGCCCCACAGCCGACAAGCCGCCCTGCCCTTTCCTGGTGAGCACGACCTGCCCTACTAGTCTGTCACTATGGCTACCCCTAGTGTCCTCGCTTTTGACGCTGAGGGTCGGGCCATAGACTTTGAGGTCTGGGTTGACGACCTCCAGCTCTTCTTGCAGTGCGATAGGGCGGACGGTCTCTCTCTCTTTGACCTCACTTCTGGCGCCTCTCCTGCCCCTGCTGCTGACGCTGACCCCACTGTGCGCTCTCAGTGGGCCACCCGCGATGCTGCTGCACGTCTTGCTGTGCGTCGCCACCTCCCTACCTCTGAGCGCGCGCACTTTAGTCAGTACAAGAGTGCTCAGACCTTGTACGACGCTGTAGTTGCGCGCTACTCCTCCCCTGCCTCTGCTACACTTAGCCGTCTCATGCTTCCCTACCTCTTTCCTGACCTCTCTGCCTTTCCCACTGTCGCTGACCTCATGACGCACCTCCGCACTAGTGACACTCGCTTCCGCGCAGCGCTTCCTGCTGAGTTCTGCGCCACGAACCCCCCCCCTTGTACTTCACCCTCTACTACGTAGTCGCGCGCCTCCCTGACTCTCTTCGCACAGTCAGGGACCACTTTCTCGCAGTCTGTCCCACCACCCTCACCGTCGACGTCCTCGAGAAGGCCCTCCTCGCGGCGGAGAAGAGCATCGTCGCTGTAGGAGCTTCTCGTGGTGACCCTCGCACCCCCATCTTTGAGGGGTGCTCCCCTTCCCCCCTGCTTCCCTCTGTTGCCTCTGCTGCTGCTGCCGACCTGCTTGGCCTCGAGTCGGTTAGCGCGGCGTCTACCCCTAGTGGGCGCCGCCGCTCTGGCAGGAGCAAGGGGGGCAAGGGAGCGGGTGGGACTGGAGGGAGCGGTGGTGGTGGCGGTGGAGGCGGCGGAGGGAGTGGGGGTGGCGGTGGGAGTGGTGGAGGGGGTGGTGGTGGTAGTGGAGGCGGTAGCGGAGGAGGCGGCGGGGGTGGCGGCAGCGGTGGCGGTGACAGCGGGGGAGGCGGCGGTGGAGGAGGCGGTGGTGGCGGAGGAGGTGGAGCAGGTCGGGGTGGCACCCAGCGGAGGAGTGGCGGAGGTGGTGGTCAGCGCCCGCAGCAGCAGCAGCAGCAGCAGCAGCAGCATTCGCCCGACAGCCTTTCGCCCCAGCAGCTCCGTGAGTGGTACACTCGCCGTTAGAGGGGTGGTGGTACTGGTCCTTGCACCTACGTCCTTTGCTCTGGCGACCGCGAGGGTGAGCAGTGTGGGGGTACCCACCCCACCCAGCGCTGCTTTGGCCGCCTGACGGACGCTTGGCGTCAGCAGTTCCCCGAGGCTAGTGAGATCCCTCGCTGGGATGAGCTTCTTAGGGCAGGTGTAGCGATCTTTGATCTGCACTCAACCTTACCTTGCTTACCCTCTCAGTATCGTGGCATGCTACGTTGCACCCGGGAGACACCGACCAGAGCACATGGAGGCCGCTAGAAGGGTGTTACGCTTCTTGTATAGTACGTCGGGCATGGGGCTCGTGCTTGGAGGACGGAGTCGAGTTGTTCTTACTGGCCATGCAGACGCGTCTTGGGTTGACTACTTGGCTACGCAGCGGTCATTACAGGGTTACACTTTCAGCCATGGCTCCGGTTCTGTTTCTTGGCGGTCTACCCGCTCGTCTTCTGTTCTCAGTTCCAGTTGTGAGGCTGAGATCTACGCACGGGCCATGGCTGCAGAGGAGTTACGCTGGCTCACCTACCTGCTGACCGAATTGGGAGAGTGGCCTAGTTCTCCTCCAGTTCTGTACGTAGACAACAAGGCCATGATTGCCTTGTGTCAGGAGCACAGACTGGAGCACAGGACGAAGCACATCGCTCTGCGTTACTTCCTTGCTCGAGAGTTGCAGCAGCGTGGTCAGCTTCGTCTTTTTTGTTTGGCCACTCAGGCCAACATTGCCGATATATTCATCAAGGCACTTCAGCCTCGTAGTCATCAGCGTTTCTGTACTGTTTTAGGCCTTGTGCCTACTTTGCCTCACTTGCTCACTTCGTGACTTTGCTTGTACTGTGATCTATATACTTGTACATTCATGCTTACACTTGCTATATTGTGATCACTGTACTGCTTGTTCCCATATATATAACTTTGCATGTGAACTGGCCTTATGGCCACTTGCTTGTGCTCAGAGTGTGTGGTGACTTCGTGATCCACCTTGAGCTGATGGCTGACGTTTCAAATTTAGATACCTTGAATCCGGTAAAAAATTTCCCCTTGTATTATGGGTGCATATTTTCCAGAGAACATAACCGTGATTGCTCAGTGTTGGGAAGTTAAATAATCTGATTATTCTGTGTCGAGAACTTAGGATCAGTGTAGTAACGCGCTGCGCATTATCAAAATTGAACCTCGATGTGGGTGTTAAGGGATAAAACTTCTATGAAACTGTCAGAGGTCCACTGGTGATCCTCGATTGATCCTAGTGAAGAGTTACAGGCACATTGGCCTGGGGGGTTATAAGCGCACTGACCCGCTACTTAACAAGCCCCTTTATCCCAATGGTCTAGTGGTTGGAAATCTTGCATGGTATCAGAGCGAAGGTCTCGGGTTCGAATCCCGATATGTGCACCTCGGGTATTCTAGTGCGGGGGGGGTGTTAGAGGTCCACTGGTGATCCCCGATTGATCCGAGGGAAGTGTTACAGGCACGTTGGCTTGGGGGGTTATAGGCGCACTGACCCGTTACTTAACAAGCCCTTTTATCCCAATGGTCTAGTGGTTGGGATATTGACATAAACTTCTTACCCATATAGGTACTCGTGCAATGTTTCCTGGAAACTCGCAGTAGGACCTCGATGGTGTGTGTGTCGGAAAGAAAGTTTGAAGAAAACATGTCTCGATAACGTGTTATTCGTTTCACTCACGCGCTGACTGTACTGCGAACAATCCGAAGGTGAGGTTATCGTGAGGAAATTTCATAGAAACTTCCTCTCAAATAAGGTCTATTCGGGGTCCACAGAGTCGATACTCTGTTAAGTCAGGGTCCACTAACAGACTACTCTGTTACACTATACTCAAAATCAGGGATATTTAATATATTACTCTGATTGGATATGGGTTGAGAGCTCAGGGCGAGTCCTTTTCGTTCGTTTGAATGTGGCTCAGTGAGATGTCTCGCGTTCTATAACAAATGGTCGGGATGGGTATTGACCAGAAATGAAATGAAGAAGACGCGCCCTCAGTAATTCTGAAATTTCAGTCTCCATTATGTGGAAAGCCCGAAATCACCCAGAAATCAGGGTAATTACCCTGATAAAATCAGCCCTCCTTGAGCTTGCTTTGCTTCTCTTGTCTCGTCTTGTGACCCCTTGTTCTCCCTCACTTTGTAGATAAGGGTGTGTCTAACTATAATGCTGCTTATGTTGTGTAAGATGTACTGGGGTAGCCTATATGGGGTACAACCAATTAAGGTTAGTACTTGTACTCTGTTTGATCTCAATACAATCATTCCTGCTTGTTAGTTTCTGACAGCGAATGCACCCCGGCTTTCACGCCATCATGCAGGGGCTAAAATTTCCACGCCGTCACAACATGTCATTTAGACGAGCAATCTCCGTATCCAAACACGTAGCAGACATTTTCTGCGACTCCACCTCTAGATCCACCTGGCGGGCACCGGCATTTCTGTGTGCACCGCCCAGTGCCACCAGCACGGCCTCCAACTCGGCTGCAATCACCCCCATGGCTGGCCGCGTGGCGCTCTGCTTAGACGTGCAACGCAGTGCCAGCTGCACCACCGTCAACACCAAGTCATCCCGCGCCTCCATGCGCGCTTGCTTCAGCCATGCCACGACCGCCCTGCTGCCGGATTGAGCCAGCTGCTGCTGGACCTGGTGGGGTTCAGCAGCAAAACAGGTTTGTGGGATTGAAACACCATGATTTGAAGGGTGGAGGAGACGATATGTGGATGCGTGAGAGAGAGAAGAGGAATTAAGCGCGGAAACACAACCACACGCCGACATTCTCTCCATCTCTCCACGGACGGACGTACCCAGGGAAGGTTGTGCAGCTGTTGGCCCGCCTCTTCATTGGAAGGAACGTCGAGACAAGTGGTGGTGGCGTGACGGCCCGTCATGAGCTCAAGAATGAGAATGCCAAAGCTGCACACCAGGACACCCCGTGGAGAAATTCAAGGGTGAGGATAAGACACGCCCAACCACAGAAAGGAGCCAGTTGGAGAAATCCTGCTCATGGCTCACCTGTAAACATCAGTGGCGGTGGTGGCCTTATTGGTTGCAGCATAAGAGGGATCCACATAGCCCAGTGTTCCCACCACTCGCGTGCTCTGCAGTGTTGTTCCCTCTCCCTTCCTCACAAGCCCAAAGTCTGAGATCTTAGCCTGCTCTCATGGACAGAAGACAATGGATATGGCCAGAAATGGATGCATGGTAAATTCTATAGAAATCTGTTGTCCACCCATGTGGATGCACTCAAATGTGCAGGCCACCCGTGTGTGCATGCCCGTTCATAGTAGTGCATTTGGTATGAGTCTAGCTGCACGCCTGCACCGCTTGCCTGCATGCTCCCGTCGAGGAGGATGTTGGCGGGCTTTATGTCGAGGTGAACGATGCCGAAGCTGTGGAGATACTCAAAGCCGCGAGCCGCCCCTATCAGCACGCTCATCCGCCGCTCAAAGCTCAGCGGGGACACTGCCTCTGCATGGACCACGGGACAGGAATAGAGGTGTGGAGAGAGGAGACCGTGAGAGGTAGGCAAAGCAGGCAAGGAGGTCTGTATGAAGAGGCATACCTGGACGACCCACTGGGTGTGGGGGCATACTTGCAGAGCACGTCCATGCACTGTTAAACTGCACTGCTTTCCCAATCCAATGCACACCTTCTCCAATCTAGTTCGAGAGGTCCCCGTTGGGCATGAGCTCGTAGATGAAGATTTGTTCGACCCTTGTCTTGTCGGTGATCCCAATGGCAAAGCCCAGCAGCTTCACGAGGTTGGGATGGTCTTTTGTGGCCATCGCACACACCTGCCAGGCAGAACGGTGGGGTCAGTAGGACACAGTTGAATGATATATTTCACATTGCTGCAAACCTGCCACATAAAAATATGGCCCCATCGTAAAACACCGCAAAGTGATCCATCTGACACGACACGGCTGCCTACTACAATTGTGTGTTTAGTTTATCTGTCTCGCACACCTCGCTCGAACAACGGTGAAGCACACCGCGATACAGAAGAGGGTGCAGAGAGATTCGTTTTGGCTCACTCATTAAAGAATGTAACACGCTCGGACAGGCCATGCCTGTATCATGCTTCTAAATTTCACAGCACAGCACCAGACACCACAACCCAACGCACAGCACACGCACGCACCTCGGTGTCAAAGTCGGTGGTAACAACCTTGGCTCGCTTCACAGCCCACTGAGTGGCATCATCGGTGGGAGAGACGCCGTGGTACACATCACCAAAGCCCCCCGTGCCCAGCAGGTTGGCTTCAGACCACCCGTTGGTCGCTTTCATCACCGCCTGCAGTGGATATTCCTGACACACCTGGGCTGCCGCCTTGCTGCTCATCAGCGCTGCAAGAAGGAGCAGAATTGGGGGGATTGGGAGGTAGCGATGAAATTAAGAGAATGAAGCACCCTGCGCAGCTCATGACAGTGAAAATTGTGCGCATCCTTGTGGTGAAGTGAAGCGAGAGCTGCTGGAATGGCTGAGAGGCCTCATTGGCGCCCAATCAGGTTGCAAGAAGAGCCGTTGAGAGTTTTCAAAAGGGCAAAGAGAGGAGGCAAGAAAGTGGTGGCAACGGGAGTGGCAAGGGAGGAGGTGACTCGAAGTGGAGCGGCAATGACAGTGGCAATCAAGAGATCCAGAGAGACGGCAGCCACATGACTTACCGGTGCTGTGCCAGGCAAGCAAGGGCAGGGCAGTGTGAGGCGGGACGGGACGCACGTTTGTTAGAGAAGTAGAGGTAGAGCACTACAGCGAGCGCTGCAATGAGAACAGCACCAGCCACGATTGCCGCGATATCCCACCAAGGAAGCGGCTTGCGCTTGTCACCTGCCAATAAAGCAGAGGACTCGAACAGGTTCAACCGACAAGTGATTGACAAAATTGAATACAAGGAGCGGCAGGACACTTGGGTGCAGAGCAGGGCAGCTTGGTATTAAATTGGAAACACAATCTCCCCTCATCCACCTCCCTTCCTCTCAAGAACGAAGCTCACATGTGTTACAGAAGCCAGGGCAGGCGCGACAGAAGCCAGAGGACACATTATGAGGCACACCGCAGCTGGTGTAGCTGTCAGGGCACTTGAGACTCGTGTCGTTGGCGTCACTGTGTGGGGCAAGGGAAGATATATATATATATATATATATATATATATATATATATATTTCGCGCTCATTTTCACTGCTTCAAACTAACAAATTGGCACCCAGTAGAGAAGAGATGCAAATACAGATGAGCAGAGATGACAACAGAGGAGCAGCTCACGATTTCAGCACACACTTGCACCGTTGAGAGCACTTACGAAGGTCAACATTACGGCACACAATTTCGTTCGAGCCGAGAAATGGCAGGTTTCCAATAAAAAGGAACCTATTAAAAATGCTGGTGTGTTTGTTTCCTCATATTTGTAGGGAAAAAATCAGACAGAAACTCCCATCCATGGATTTTTTTTTAAATTTCGAGTAAAACTAAAAGAGAAAACGCAGGCAAAACCTCCCACCTAGCAGCAGTGAGAGCACTTACAGGGTTGTGAGTTGCTTGAGGCCTCCGAGGGATGGTGGGATGGTTCGTTCAAAGTGGTTGAAACTCACGTTCCTGTGGCGTGGTGCATAAGAGGCCAGGGCCCAGGGAGACACAGACGAAGAGAGAGAGAGGTGCCTTAAAAACCTGGCAATGGCAGTGGAACAGGACAATCTGAAGCACAGGTGAAGCGGAGGGATGTTTCGCACACGGCGGCACGCATGCACACGTGCACGTTGTGTGACACGAGCAATACGCGCAGCCCGTGCACCGATTTTGGTTCCGGGGCGCTAAGAAAGGTTGTCAGAACAAGTGTCTGTCAGGTGAGAAAAGAGACTTCAACACCAAGGCAAAGAGACGCGCAGCCAATGCAAAGAGATTCAACACAAAAGCAGGGCCAAGGGACTGATAGGTACGCCAGGGAAGTGAAGGCTGTGAGGGATTCGGGGATGGAGCCTGTGAGGCCATTATTGGAGATATTCCTGCGGTGACAAGGGCACGGGAGGGCATGGGAGATGCAGAGGGATGCAGTGAACGATGGGGATCGATGCTTACGGAGAGTGGAGGAATGAGGCATGGCATGGGACATGCGGGGATGGGCTTGGAATAGGGAATTTAGGGCAGCAGGAATTGAGAGAGGAGGGCAGATGACAGGAAGGCAGATGGTAGGAAGCAAGAAAACATTTGCAGATTGATGCAGCCAGTAAAGAAAACATGGGCGACAGAACCGGCGCGACATGGCATGTGCTCTTTCTGCACTTGGAGCAGGAAGGATGCAGAATGCAGCATTGAAGCCCTCCCGTGAGCGGTGCTCACAGGGCAACGACTCATGCAATGGCTTGAGTACCAGCAGCAAGACCTTGGCCCACTCCAACCTTCCTTGTGGCACAGACGGACGGACGGACGGACGGACGCAGGGGAAGGTCCTTGAAGAAGTGTTCACCAAAGAGCTGAGTGCCTGACAAATCCCTGTGTTCGCATGCGATTCCGTCCCCCCATGCACAGCAACCAACATGCGGCCAGCAGCAAAGCACACGGGAGTGTTGGGAATGGGGGCGCATGAGGCAGTGTGTGAGTGAGGCTGCAGCTGCGAATTTGCAACAGGCATGCTGAATGTGCGACCATGCATGCCAGATGTGCGACCATGCATGCCAGATGTGCGACCATGCATGCTGAATCTGCAACCAGGCATGCCCTATGTGCGACCGCCATCACCATGTGTATGCGAGATCCTCTCCTACCCGCTGAGCCATGCCCACCCACTCACAGCGTTGTGACGCTCCTGAGCGTGTTAATCTCCGCGAGGCTGTTGATCTTCAGTGGATTTGAGCTCAGATTCCTGCCATGCCGTGCACATGTGCACATGAGCCGCGAACAAGCGGGAGGGAAAGGGGCGACACACGTGGCATTCTTTAAGAGCCTATTCCGTGGAATGGCAGGCAGTGTGTCAGAACGAACAAGCACGGCTGCGGGTAAGCAAGAGTGCGCCCCTGGAAGCCCTTTATTGCGCCAAGTAGGCAGGGCCAAGTCAGCGTGCGGGTGAGAGCGAATGGGAGCGGATGGGAGCGGATGGGAGCGGATGGGAGCGGATGGGAGCGGATGGGAGTGATCAGGGTACAGCAGTGGGAGGGTTCAGGCAAAGTGGCACAGGATGGTTGTGGAGGGAGAACAGTGCCGCCTACAGGAGCCTACAGACTCATGCCTCTCGCCACACAGCATGAAGCCACAGCCATGCCCCCTTGCTGCTGTATGCATGCATGCAGTATTCCAAACGGAGAGGAAGTAGAGGAGGGGAATAGGGAGAGGGAAGCAGAAAGCCGTACAGATTCTGCAGGTTGGGGTAGTCGATGCTATAAAGAGGTTCGAGTCTTGATATCTGGTTAGAAGGCAGCTCCCTGCATGGGGGGAAGGGGATGCGGAGAGTGAGGCAGTAATGGCTAGCAGCAGCAGCAGCAGCTGCAGGAGGCAACGTGGCATGCTGAAGCACATGCGGAGAAGCAGCAGCAAAGGGGAAAGAGAAGAGAAGACGAGCAGAAAGCGGAGCAGCAAAGGCGGAAAAGGGAGGGCGAGGGGAAGCAGCAGCAGAGAGAAGGTGCATAGACGGGCCAGTGTGGTGTGGTGCACACTGCCGTGGGTGCATGTGGGGTCCGGAGTGCGAGGGAGGAGTGAGTGTATAGGGGGAGTGAGTGGATGCGGGGAGTGAGTGGGAAGAGGGGTGAGTGGCGGGAGTGAGTGGGGAGAGGGGTGAGTAGGGGGAGTGAGTGGGGGGAGGGGTGAGTGGGGGAGTGAGTGGGGGAGTGAGTGGGGGGAGTGAGCGGGGGGAGTGAGCGGGGGGAGTGAGTGGGGGGAGTGAGCGGGGGGAGTGAGTGGGGGGAGTGAGCGGGGGGAGTGTGCGGGGGGAGTGTGCGGGGGGAGTGTGCGGGGGTCTCACAGGTTCACAAATGCGGACAATTTGACCAGCGACGACAAACCGTCCGTGCTGGTGCCACAGCCACAGTTCTCCAATCGCCTGCACCAGGCACGGCACGATGAACGATACACAGGGAGGCGTGAGTACATTCGTGAATGCGGCATGAAGATGCAGCACCATGGATGGAGTGCAGTTAGCCAAAAAAGCAAGCAGGCAAGCAGGCAGATCAGATCAAATCAGAGGATACTCAGGCCAGCAAAGGAGCATGCACTGGTCTTTTTAATCGCCCACGTGGGCCTTGCAGGTCCAGGCATATCCCCCACGTGCAGGCATGGGATGCCTTGCACGCCCATGCATGAGATGGCGTGCACGCCCATGCATGGGATGGCTTGCACGCCCATGCATGAGATGGCTCACAGTCTAGTTAGCTGAACGAGGTTGGCCAGGCTGAAAGCAAGGGGCACGTTGGGATAACAGTCCACTGACCTGCACACACACACACACACACACACACACACACACACACACACACACACACACACACACACACACACACACACACACACACACACACACACACACACACACACACACACACACACACACACACACACACACACACACACACACACACACACACACACACACACACACACACACACACACACACACACACACACA